TTTTTTTACTTATAATCTATAAATTGATTTTTTTTAATAATTTGAAAAGATATGCCCACTAGTGGTGTCGATGGATATTTCGATTAAATGATTTGAAAATATATATATAGTTTGTTTGGGTGAGATACCGTTGGAATTGATTTTTTTCCCTAAATAATTTGAAATCGACTTTTTTTTTCTTTTTTTACCTAAGTTTGTTTCCGTCTCTTTTATCTCTTATAAAAAAAAAATAAACCTCGTAACAAATAAGTAAATCTGACGAGAGAGAATTAAATCTTTTCTAAAACAAATTAAGGAGGTTTGCCCATTTAAATTTGCCTCAAGATTATAGGTTTATTTGAATTAAAAGAAAGATCATCTTTGGTATTAGTTAAATTATATCACCCTATTTGAATATAATAAATTTTATTTTTCAAATTTTTTACCTATTTCACATATCTTGTTTAATTATGCAACTAAATATTAGATTTGATTATAAATAATCGATAAACAATAACTTTAATTACTAATTCAAATAATTTATATGCAAGTATATAAATGATTTTGTTCTGACGTTATTATTGCAACAACATTTTCATAAGCATATTATTGATATATTTAGATATGATGGTCAAAATTTAACAATTATGAGTCAATTAAGCTACAATTAAGTCTTATTTACTAATTCAAAAAGTTTGCATCAATATCCATAATTTATGTGTTTTTTCTCGAAATATTCATCGACATTGACCTCGACATTTCCATCGACATCGATATTTCGAACATTGAACCAAACCACAAAATGATTGGTACATGCACATTACCTATTCTACAAAAAATCTACCACTAATTGGATTGAGAACTCAGTTCACATATTTATAAAGAAATAGAGAGAAAAATTGAATGTCAAAATGCAGTCATCAATCTCACATTATTGAAAAGATAAGAGAGCCAACAAAAGTTTATGATATGTACGAGATACTTCTCTCATTGGTAATTGATTTTGGGATAACAACACATAGACCTTTTAAGACACCTCATTACATAAATTTTTAGAAATTCTGATATTTGTAGGAGACTAATTTCCTCCATCTGACAAAATAAATAATAGGCTGCAAATGGGTGTTCAAAATCAAACGGAACTCTAATGGATCAATCGCTCGTTATAAAGCAAGATTAGTTGTTCAAAGGTTCCATTAGGAAGCCGATATGGATTACACTGAGACTTTCAGTCCAGTGGTGAAATCAACTACAATGCAGGTTCTTACTCTTGCTTTATTCAATGGCTGGCTTTACGTCAGGTTGATATAAATAATGCCGTTTTGCATGGCCTGCTTGCTGAATGAGTCGCCTGGAATGGTTGTTTCGACCCAATTTGGAAAGGTGTGTAAATTAACCAAGGCACTTTATGGTTTGAAGTAGGCTCATCGTGCCAGGTAATAGACTGAGTTCCTTTCTTCACTCACTTGATTTTGTGAACTCTAAGGCTGCCAATGAGTCCCTTACGGAGTATATCACTCGGTTCATGGACGAACATGTCAAGGTGGTGAGCTGCATTGACGACATTGCCATGATGTATTTCACGACGGGGTTGAACGACTGGAACCTGACGATCGAGTTTGGAAGCCACCCGCCGGCCTGTCTTAACGAAATGCTCTCCCGAGCTCGTCAGTATATTAACGGTCTAGAGCTGTGGAATGCCGACGGAGCAGACGAAGTAGCCGCGGTAGAGACTGGGACCACAAGTCTCCACCCTCCAAGAAGCGGCGCGGTGATGATCGAAATTCATCTTGGCGAGTTGATGACGACAAGAATAAAGGTCGGCATGAGGAAAGGGTCATTTCAGATCGTCGCGGGCCAAAGTTCGACATGTTTACTCCGCTGAATGCCTCAATCGCTGAGATCTACGCGGCAGTCTAAGACACCGACCTGGAGGCGCTGTTCGCAGCCTTGGAAAAGCTCCGCCGACCATCGGGAAAGCGAGACAAGCGACTCTACTGCCGATTCCACAAGGATCCTGGCCATGATACCTCCCGTTGCTTCCATTTAAAGGAGCAAGTCGAGGATTTGATTCTGAGGGGTTATCTAAAGAAATATGTCGGCAGTAGAGAGCGAGCAGAGCTAGAAGGGTTATCTCGTGAAGAGAAGCAAGAAAGGTTGCAGCCGCCCGGGAGAAAAGAAGATTGCCCTGCAGTCATAAATACCATTCACGGAGGTCCGAGTGGGGGGCAGTCGGGGCAGAAGAGGAAGGCCTTAGCTCGGGAAGCGGCACACGAGGTCTGTACCTCGTACCCCAAGGAACCCGTGATGCTGATCTTGTTCGACGAGCAGGACAACGAAGGGGTGCATATGCCTCATAACGATGCCTTGGTGATCACCCCCTTATAGATCATGTGAAGGTCAGGAGAGTTCTTATTGATGGCGGGGCGTTGACCAACATATTATCCTTCTCGACCTACTCGGCTTTGGGGTGGGAGAGAAGACACCTGAAGCATAGCCCAACGCCCCTGGTCGGCTTTGCAAGGGAGTCAGTCAGCGCGGAAGGATGTATCTCGCTCCCTGTAACCATTGGCGAAGGGGAGCACCAAGTGACCAAGGTTACCGAGTTCGTCGTGATAGACCGCATCTCGGCGTACAACGCCATTCTTGGTCGACCCCTGATGCACGACCTTAAGGCGGTTCTCTCGACCTACCATCATGTTCTGAAATATCCTACCCCAGTCGGAATTGCAACAGTCCGAGGTGAACAAAAGACCTCGCAAGAGTGCTACGCAGCTGCTATGAAGGGGATCGCCACTTGCACAGCATTCATGAAGCTCGAGACGATCGAACCACAGCATGATCTCGAAGCAGAGCTCAACTGCGGCCCATCGGCAGAGGAGTTAGAACTCGTCCCGATTATGGGGGCAGACAAGCAGGTCAGTATTGGCAGCAAACTGGGGGCCGAGATAAAGGAAGAGCTCATCGGTTTTTTAAAGGCGAATTCTGGTTTGTTCGTATAGTCCCATGACGACATGCCGGGTATCGACCCAAATATAATGGTGCATAGGCTTAATATAGATCCTAATTATAGGTCTGTGAGGCAAAAACGTCGGCCTGTCGCGCCGAACGAAGTAATGTAATTTGTAAGGAGGTGGAAAAGTTGTTACGAGCTAATTTCATAAGAGAAGTTCATTACTCCGCGTGGCTTTCCAATGTTGGTTTAGTTAAAAAGCCTCTGTATTGACATTACGAGACTCAATAAGACGTGTCTGAAAGATAGTTTTCCCCTCCCTCGGATAGATCAGCTCGTCGATGCGACGGCAGGACACGAGCTACTCTCTTTCATGGATGCCTACTTCGGATACAAACAGATCCGGATGCATGCCCCCGACCAAGAGCACACCTTAGCCTCATACTCCTGATGCATACCCCCTACTCCGAATCAAACAGACCACTTAGCCTCGGCCTACGAAACCGACCTACCAATAATGGTGCCAGTGGAAGTGCTCGGTGAGCCGTCCATCGACCAGCCGAAAATAATGGAAGTCCAGTCAGCTCAGCCCACATGGATGGATCCGATAAAAAATTTTCTGACCAGTGGTTTAACTTTGGTAGATCAGAGTCGGGCTAAGAAGCTCCAACGTCAAGCGGCTCATTATAGAGTGCAAGAGGGCAAGCTCTACAAGAGGGGGTATTCTTTACCATTGTTGCGGTGTCTCAACCTAGAGGAGGCAAGGTATGTTATTCGCGATGTCCACAAGGAGTTGGCGGGAATCATGGTGGAGCTCGGTCAATGGCCACGAAGATCATCCGACAGGGCTACTATTGGTCGACGATTGACCACGATGCTAAGGAGTTCACAAAGCATGTGACAAGTGCCAGTGCTTCGCGAACATCCTGCGACAACCCTCGGAGATGCTGACGTTGATCTCAAGTCCTTGGCCTTTCGCTCAATGGGGGCTAGATCTGATTGATCCACTACCAAAGGCTAAGTGGCAGCTGAAATATGTAGTGGTGGCGGTGGACTATTTTACCAAGTGGGTAAAGGCTGAGCCCCTAGCGTCCATTACCGAGGATAAGGTCGTTAGTTTTGTGTGGAAGAACATAGTATGTCGGTTCAGCATACCGTACGCCCTCATTACCGACAACGGCAAGCAATTCGACAGCGCTCGATTTAATCGATTCTATCAACAGCTCGGTATACGCCATTTCAGCTTGTCGCCAACTCATCCGAAGTCAAACGGGCAGGTTGAAGCTATTAACAAAATTAACAAACGAGGCTTGAAGACGAAGCTTGAGTCTTTGAAGGGTCGGTGGGCGGAGAGTTGCCAGAAGTGTTGTGGTCCTACCGAACTATGCCGTGCCGCGAGACGTCGTACAGCCTAGCGTTCGAGTCAGAAGCTGTCATTCCGTAGAGATCAGCATGCCAACACTCCGATTTGAAAATTTTGACGAGTAGACCAACAGTGAAGCTCTCCTTCTAAATCTTGACCTGCTCGAAGAAAAAATGTCTCACTCCCAGCTCAAGTTAGCAGAATACTAGAACCGTATGGCTCAGTACTACAACGCCAGGGTAAGAGTCCGAATGTTCGAGCCTGGAGACCTCGGACTCAAGAAGGTGACGCAGCATGTTGGAGCCCTGGAACCAAATTGCGAGGGCTCGTACAGAGTTTTAAAAGTAGTTCATCCTGGAGTTTACCTACTGTCCAACCTAAACGGGAGACATCTCCCTCATCCGTGGAGCCGAATACTGACGAGTTTATCATCAGTAGGGCAAAAGAAAAACTTATGTAAACCGAGGTGTAAATTCCCATTTATTAATGAAAGTCGAACTCCAATGACTTGTAAAAAATTTGACTATACTCATTAATGTCGTTTATTAGTACCGAGCTACGTCAAATGGGGGTAAGGAAGGTTGCGTGGTATGACCTATGCTAGACCATAACGAGAAAGGCTTTGACACCTTTCAAACTTTGGGAACACTGGTCAGCTCGTAAGAACCTAACCATCCCTTGCGGTTTGAACCCACCGCCGAGTCGAGTTACCTCGGTTTGTAAGTCGTTGGGCAAGGAAGAGATTATCCAGACTTGAGAAAGTCAAATAATAAAATTGAAATTAAAAGTGTAAAGACTTTGGAAGGAGCAACTCAAGTCTAAGCAAAACCTCGTTTCATTGAATTAAAATATGATTAGAGTTGAGGTATATATGCCTCAGCTCGGTACAATATTCATGTTCTAAAAGAAAGATGAGAGAGAAACAGTAGAAGGAAGAAAAGAAAGAGCTATTCCTCGAGAGGATCATTAGGCTTGTGGCTCCTGCGTCGGCATTAGCCGTCTCGGCTCCCTCACCAGCGTCGGCAAAACGGTTGACCCAGATGGCCTCATACTCCTGCTCAGCAGTGGCGATGGCTTCCTCCGAGCAAGCAGTCTCCAACTTCTCAATGGCGTAGTAGAAGCCCTTGTCCGCCATGTCGCGCGCCAGGTCGTCAAATTTGGCGAACTCCTTCTCCTTCTTCTCCAAGTAGGACCAGCTCGCCATGTTCTGCTGAGCCTCCTTCTAGTCCTTCTCCGCAGT